CGCACCTGCAGCTGGGCACATCCCCCATGCACCTCCAACTGTGCACACAGCCCCGGCATCTGTGCACACAGCCCCTGCAGTCCCCCACGCACCTGCACACACAGCCCTTGCAAACCCCCCCCACACACACACGCACCTGCACGGATTTCCCACGCGCCTCCACATGTGCACACAGCCCCTGCAACCTCCCCACACGCACCTGCACACACAGCCCTTGCAAACCCCCCCCACACACACACGCACCTGCACGGATTTCCCACGCGCCTCCACATGTGCACACAGCCCCTGCAGCCCCCCCATGCATCTGCAGCTGTGTACACAGTCCACACACACACTCCAGACACCTACAGATTTGCACAGCCCCTGCAAACCCCATGAAACTGCAAATTTGCACATCCACACACCTGCAGCTGTGCACACAGCCCCTGCAAACCCCCCACACACCTCCAAATGTGCACACAGCCCCCCGTGAACCTGCAGCTGTGCACACAGCCCCTGCAACCCCCACGTGCACCTGCAGATGTGTACACAGCCCACACACACACTCCAGACACCTATAGATTTGCACAGCCCCTGCAACTGCAGATTTGCGCAGCCCCCATGCACCTGGAGTTGTGCACACAGCCCCTGCAACTCCATCCACCTGCAGCTGATGTGCACTTCCCCATGCACACACACCCCAGTTGTGTACACAGCCCACACACTCCCATGCACCGGCGGAGTGCACCCAGTCCTTTCACTCTCATACATCTGCAGAGGTGCACGTGGCCCTTGCACACACACACACACATCTGGAGATGTGCACATCTCCCGGACAGCTGCAGATGTGAACACAGCCGCTGTTTGTGCAGATGTGCACATAGCCCTTCCAACTTGTGATATCACACAGACTCCGCACTCCCATGCCCCTGTAGATGTGGACTCAGCCATGGCGTAGATGGACATGCACATGTGCCAGGAGATAAATAGCTCCATTTTCTCTCTCTATGGGAGCAGATTCCTGGAATCACCAGGGTCAGAGCTGGCAGCAGCTTCCTTACTGAGGCTGAGCTCCCCTGCCCTTCCTTATCCCCTCCTCCCCTACATTTTCTGTGTCTTCTCCACGTCACTGACCTTGAGGTCTTCTGCCTCCTCTGCATCTCTAACTCCTCCATCTGCCCCAGTCACCCCATCCCTTCCTGCTACTTAAGTCCATTGCCTCCCGTGGCCAACCTGGCTCCTTCCCCTCTTCATCTTCAAAAAAATAACCCTTAACCTCATCCTGCTTCTAACTACTGCTTCAGTTTTCCCCACCTCTTTCATTGCATGGGATTTCCTGTCTCCTGCTCAATCAAGTCAATCCATGTAATCCTTTGCAATCCTGCCTGCAAGCCTCCTCAGAACTTCCTCGTCAGCTCTGTAAATGTGTCGTATTTTCAGCCCCTTCTCACTTTACGTAGAGGAAAGTTTGTGAATCAGAAACCCCATCTTGGAATATCTAGACAAGTAACAGAAGGAAACAAATTCATTTAATTTTGTCCAAATAAGTAAATAACTATATCATGTAAATCGTGAAACACAAGTCTGCTTGAATATTAAGTTTCATTATTACACTTACATAAATAAAGCCCCGTGCAAATATCTTACCCAATGTCATAATGGGTCATTTTACTAACAAAAATTACAACATAGAAACAATAAAATAATTGTTATGATTAGACTTTTGTTTTGCATTGAAAGCTGGGATTCAACCTCTCCGTTTTGTATAAGCATTTAAGCATGTACTCCCCAAAATTACAGCACTTACTCTTTGGGTAAAGAATGAATTTTCTGAGCCTTTAAAAGTAAATCAATTAGTTAGAATTAAAATTGAAGACTGGGTCCATTAAGAAATGCAGCTTCTGTATCAGTCTGTGTCTCAAAGAATCTTAAAAGTAGGGTGACCAGATAGCAAATGTGAACAATCGGGATGGGGGTGGGGGGTAATAGGTGCCTATATTAGCAAAAGCACCAAATATCAGGACTGACCCTATAAAATCAGGACATCTGGTCACCCTACTTAAAAGTGGGTGACAGACATGTCCAATTTTCCATATACGGTCGTCAAAATTAACTGCAGTCTTGTACATAGCTTTTAGGGGGTCACTTAAGGATCTGGGGCAAAATCAGTACTTGGTCCTGCTAGTGAAGGCAGGGGGCTGGACTCGATGACCTTTCGGGGTCCCTTCCAGGTCTAGGAGACAGGATATCTCCATAGATTATAAGTTATTAACAATTGTATCTCATCGCTGTGGAGATATAGGCTACAGAGAGGCTCAGAGCAACTCCTAAGGAGAACCATTGTGACCTCAGGGGGGGGGGGAAAATCAGCCAATCACCACTCTTCCTCCGCAGCTAATTTGTATGCAACAATTCTATTGGTTGTAATGAATCAGTGGTAGGAAGAGAGACTGGATGGACACAGGTTGCAAGAGTTCTCACTGGTAGATCGTGTCTTGTGGTCCAACTGTCAGTGCTCTTTACATCTCCCATGGCTGCCCCTCCCTCCCTCCCCCCGGCACTACTGCCTTGTCTCCACTGCATAGTGGGATGGTCTGTTTGTGCTGCACTGGAGCTCTCAGGGACTGTGCCCCTTGTAGTGACTTCTGTCGAGGAATTTCCTAGGGTGAGGCTGGGGAGTTATAAGAACA